ATGTTATGCCAAATTGGAACTGTCGAGTTTGTTCCAGATTGTTTGCCACTCGGTTTCTTTCTGAGGGTATCTTTTTTTGCTGGAAGAAGTGTTAACATAACACAGCACATGCAAAGGTGATGTGTTGGCTGGAGAGAAGTCGGCGAGGCTGGTTAGCCGTCGGCTGTGTATCATCACCGCGTTTCGCTATACAGAGAAGAGCTATGGGACTCTTCTGTAGTGAGGCTGTCTACGACATTTCCTTACTCGAAGGCTGCCAACCCTGCCTCAACCGCCTAACGGTAGTTAGGAGTGGTACCAGCATACTCGGTGTACTCGAAAGTGTGAGGAAATGTCTCCTTCTGTATACCCAAATTAACAGATAAGAGCAAGCCCTTGTATCAGTCCGTCTCAGATAATCAGCTGAATTGTTCCCCATTTTCTGTCGGGTTTCACTGGGTGGCTTCGAGCTGCCGTTGGCACAGTATTAGTGCCCGTAGCTTCAGCGCAAATCCCCCGCCTTTGTTCTTGCTGTACTCACAATATCGGATGTTATCAGTCCCTCGCAAGCCGCTGCATTCTTTCCTGTTGTGGCTTTTACGGACGACCTTAAGGAATCGACAAGGATGTCATCCTCTGCAACTACACTGATGCGAACAGGGAGTTTTCCATTACGGGTCAAATTGGCACTCAAGTAGGCATCCGCATCGAACAGAGATCCACGACGAGATCATCAACAGCGTGTTGAGGCTTGGTCTCATTCGCAACTATGCAGTTGACGGCTTGAGAACGTGCAACATGGGGGGAAATATAAAGAAAATGATAACGTATAGCGGGTTGCATAGTCACCAGCGTGCACATCTTCTACCGTAAGTTTGTATGTTGGAATGCTCGTGTAGTGCACTCGCACTACAATGTACTCGTTACAATATACTGCGATATTAGTGAATAGGTTAAAGTTAAGAATATGTAATAAGTTGAATAAACAAATTATAGTTTCGTACAGAGTTAGTCTAGCAATGCAAACTATGGGCAACTATAGTACCAAGGTTCGACCTCTTAGAGAGAGAGAGATAGTCGGGGACACAGGGCCGGGTCGGCCGTACCCTGCGGAGCTAGCGACCGGCTGTGGGCCTAGCTAGCGGAAGGTCGGATCCGATGGGATTGGGAGACGGCAGAAGAATCTCCTTGGAGAATTCGGGTTGAAATCTCTCTTAAAAACTCAATTCAAAGTTTGAAAACTCAATTTTAAGTTGGAACTTTGCTTGAATGCTGGGATTAGGACTATTTCTCCATTAATAGAGTCTAGTCTTAGGTACTGAATGCCACCGGGGCATTACAGCTCGCCTCTGTTTGAAGCCCGT